TAAATAGATAGATGAATTAGAGATAGATGTATAGATATAGACAGATAGATGTAAATATATATAGATAGATAAAGCTAAAGATAGACAAGTAAAGATAAAGATAAATAAAGACAAATAAAACTAATGATAGATATATAAAAATAGATAAAGATCGCTTGATATATATAGATAGATAGATCTAGATAATGATATATACAGATAATGATAGGTAGTTGGACGCAGCTATTTTATCACGCTCTTTTAATATCTAATTCCTGTTACATCCAATCTTTCAATCATCCTTGATCATAGAGAAACTTTTTCATAGGCGTTATTCTTACTTTTTTGCATTCTTATCCCGTGGCAATCATCCGGTTATTAAAATCATACGTTCTTTATTGATTCAGTTTGTTACTTTGTGTTAATTAACCCGTTAAATAGACCTGGGATAGTTTATTCTTCAGTAATTATAAAGGATTTTGGAAAAAAAAATCATTCCACTGGATTAATACTAAGAGTTACTAATTGCAGAAACATAAAAAATATACAGTTTTCTTTCAAACTTTTGTGTTTCTTTGTGGATCTTCAAAGAATAGACAATTGTACAATATAAACTTTTGACTAAATCTCAAGGATTCTCTGCAGCAAGTCGCCGAAAATGGTCAATTTGACTAAATTAATATCACGCTTTGTTTCTTCTTCTTTGCAAAAGAATATTTATGCAACCGGATTTATCTAGTGGGCAGTTCTTTTAAAGACAAAACTTAGACAAAAATCAAAGGTAGTTCTTATAAAATGCACGATGATAATGTGGTTTAGGTCTTTGGTATATTTATCGCAGCTGATGCTACAGCTCGTAGTATCGGTCTATCCGTCCGTCCGTCCGTCCGTCCGTGAAATTTTTATAATGAAAAGTTGTGTTTTTCAAGCTCTCTTTCGTCGGCTATGTCTGATCTCTTGTCGACATTGGACTTTCGCGGCCGAGCGCTCATCCCGAACCATTGTTTTAGTTCCGGCGAAGCCGTAAATCACGACCTGACGCCGCTCCTGGTTTTAACGGTTGGTTTCAGGGCCTGTCTCTTGCGATGATTTGACTGTGCGTCGCGTCAAGACCCCGTACTCACCTGGATAGTGCCCTGTGATTTTTTTGTCCGAGACTAAGGAAAAGTCTGAAAGAGAAGCGTGTAGACACGATAGAAGAAATAAAGAAGAAAAGATCCTTAACCGAGCTGAAGGCTTTTTTGATGATTCAATTTTATCGATTAGGGAAAAGCGACTTATCAATGCTTCGCTACTTAACTCATTTAAAGTTTCGATATAAAATCCGTTTCCACTATCTCTGTTCACCGTAATAAGCTATCTATATTGCATGAGATCACAAACGACTTCAAATGGGATTTGCTGTTATCAGGGCTTGACGTAATACGCTCCAACTGTGTTGGCCCGTAGGCCTTTAGACGATGCTGTGGACCCGCTATCCGCCATTAAACACGTAAGCATTACGACATCGACCGCGCCACATCGAGTTTACAGAACATCTATAGGCGGTACGGTATTTTGATTAATATTATTTGACACGCTTGTCGTGTAGCATTTGTATAGACTTAAAAATATATATATAAACATTTCAAGATAAGGTTGAGTAAGACTTTAACCTTGTTCAATTTATCCTAAGCAAGTCTGGCCTGTGAGGTTACATACACACTGTTGGCCACGCCATATCTCTTACAAAAAGAGTCCACGCACAGGAAAAGGTGAATTAGTGGTACCCGACGGCGTAGTGTAGGGCTCACGATGAAAAATCTTGTCAGCATATATCTGTTCCATTGATTCGCCCCCTTCCGCGCATCGTAATTCATTGCACCTGATCCAGAACTTGGGGTTAACTTTAGAAGCTTTCTTTGCTGAGTTGCAAGTACGTCATTAAAAGGAAAAGTTGCGGAAAAGTCGAACTGTTTTTTTTGGTTGAATAAAGATCTTTCGATGAATAAAATAACGTCGACAAGGAAGTACACGAGTATTGAGCTATACGGTGAAAGGCTAACACGCGTTTGAGGTAGGACGCTTTCGAAAAATCTAGGAAACTTGAGGCCATACGCATTAAGTACTCCCAGAGGACCTTCACCCCGTGGACCGTCATCGGTGTGATTTTTGTGTGGAATAGGAGATTAGGGATCCTTACCGTCGCCACGGCGAAAAAAGCTCCCTCCCCCAAGTCCTTTTCGGCATTTTTGGAAGACGTAAGCCTCGAGACAGGTACTTCTGGTAGTAGATATATAAAAATATATTCACCCATGAAAGAAAGAGTCAGCATATAACAGCTTGGATGTGAAATTTCCTTTTGCCCTAACCCTCGTCCCCATCGTATTCGCTTGCGCAGACAACACGAATTCAATAAAGGCTCTAAGTTCTAAACTTGGTTACAGTCCAAGGAGCTAGATCCTTCGCGTATAGAATGTTTTCAACTAGGTGACCTGGATCACAGTATTTCTAAAGTTCTAAAGTATATCTGTAGCTGCAAAGGCTACTACAGAAAGTGCGCCAACGACCGAAGACTGCTGCAGGTATTCGGAGGCTGATTTTCATTTTCACCACGGGTAAAAGCCAATAGCATGCATAAATCGGGACTGGCGTAGTGTACGAACAACAATGTGGCTATAGATATTTATAAATTAAAAAATCATTGATTTCAAATTAAAAAAGGTTGTATACAAGACTGACACAAAAGCCAAATGCTTCATATTCAGTCCGGTGTTTATCGGTATTTATATAATTCATTCTCGGAGTCCTGGTAAGATCAGTTGCACTATTATTCATGGTAACAGCATATCTCCTAATCTGTATCATTTACCGGCAGCAGCACTTTTTTTCGTGACATTTCGGCAGCAATTCAATTTACTGTTAAAACTCTGCTCTCGTTCCCTGTTGGGGCTATGAGCGTTGGAAGGGTATTGCCACCAAAAGCGTACGAACAATAGCTAAATATCTTCAAAAAGCACATATCTATCTCCTACTAAACTCCTTTCACATCTTCGACTATTATTGGCGGCTGACAAAAGACGTTCGCTCGGTACTATTGCTACTCGGCGTGGCTATAACTGCGCTGCCCCATTTCCCACACTCACTTGTAGACTCGCCCTTACTCTCGTCTTGGTTAAAAGCGAGGGAAAGAGGCCCTCATTAAAGCGTCTGCTCCTCCCAAACGTCAGCCGCATCGTTCGCAGTGTTGACATCAGGCTTATTGCCGACGACAGAGGCGATCAAAATCTGCATTCAAGAGATTTCACCGCGAACATTAAATATGCCGCATTAGCATGTACGCCAAATACTCGATTAGAGCAGATAGAGTACATTACGCCTTTTCTATTCTAACAATACTACTCGCCGGTAAGCAAAATCACTACCACGATCAATCGCAATAACATAATTCTCGCGAGAACGACCATCATCATCATTCACTGGGAGTGTTTTATTCATTATCATATGATGTACACCGACGAAAGCTCTGAAACTGCTACATTTCTGCTTTTGTTGTGTACCGTCGTTGGCGTTTGTTTATTGCAGAGCTGGCTGGCTATGTGACCGAACAGTTGTATTATCATGTTTACGTGTGAGCATTTGTGAAGAGCGTCCGCCGACGTGACGACCCGCCGTCGGCGCTGCTACGGCGGTCATTGGCTGCTAGTAACGCTGCAATGATGTTACTGTTGCCCATATTGTTGCGATAGCAGCTCACCGTGATAATATGCCTATTGTAATGATAACATAAACTAACGTTGTTATTAAAGTACTGTATTTTTTGAGTTTCCGTTTTGCTTTCTTCGAACTTCATCGTACTGCTTTACCGCTGTGCTGTGCCCATCTGTAGTCGCAGGTGAACTATGTTTTATGACCATACGTCCCAATGGTACGCTATCGCTGTGGTTGCCCTGCTGGAAATTGTTGTCTTCATTGTGGTTACCTCTTCGGCCGGTGTTGCTGCACCAGTCAAATACGACCATACTAGTTTCTGGCTATCCAGCAACCTCGCTCGCTTCTACTGCTGCATAATTGGTGACATTTTTATCGAATGACTGTTAGTGATGATTTGCTATGATCAGCGTCGCAAGCACCAAAGTCAAAACCTCATTCCACCATCACCGCTATTATAACAACAATCGTCATCGTCACCAACGCAATAGCCAATAGCGGCAGCAACCTTATACTTCACGTCGTCCCTTGATTACCCCCTGCCACATTCTACGACTATCCTGCTACAGCTGCCGCGTGTCCGTAAGTATCGATGGTCTCTGTCTGTTTTTGGCCACTGTCGGTCGTGGTCGTTCTTGTTCCTGCTGCTGCTGCTGCTGCTCCCGCTGCTTCTTCTTTTTCTTCTTCTTCTTCTTCTTATACACCCCCCACCGACCGTCGCTTCCGAACCACCCGCTGAACGCTGGTGCCGGCCGACTAAGCAGCTACTACATGAAACGAAAATAAGAGAAAGAGTAGCAGTCCGGTCAATGGCAAAGAGGCAGCAATCTCAACGGGCAACCATAACGACAAAAAATTTCTCCTGAAGTGGAGTGACGTCGCCGACGTTGCCGAAGCTGCTGACGTCGACCACGACGACGGCTACGGGCGCCACCAGCGTCGCTAGCGGCGGCAGCAGCAGCAACAACAACAACAACAGCGGCGGCGGCGACAGCAGCAGCAGCAGCAGCGTTATCACAGTCCTCTGACAATTTAAGAGAAGACCGTTTAGTCCACTCAGTCGTGTATTGTTCGTAATTCGCTGTCGCTACTGCTGTATAGTACACAGCATGGTCGCAGAAAGTTGGACATGTGCTCGTCATGGCCGTTCGCAAATTCCCTACGATAACTACTTGTAATAGATGTGCTAATTCAAAAATTAACTGCAATGCTATAGAGCATATTAATAGTAACTGTTTGTTCAAGGGTTCGGAGAAACGCCTATCTATTTCTTCGGCAGTTTTGAAGAGTTCTACGAATGCCGAAATAAAGCGTCATAAGTGATGACAATGTTGTTACACCATATGTCCGTAATGTGCTCCACCACGGCGCACGACTGGCCTGCCACTGAACAAATAACAACCACAGCAAAAAGAAACAAAATGAGCTCACTAAAGTAATACTGTAACAAAAAGGGAACTGGAAAAGGCACAGCGTAGTGGAAACGACAGACAACACTCAATGGTCAGCAAGGAACTCGGTGAGTGACGTTTTCGAAATAGTGAATATCTCTTATCATATGGGTGAGTGTATGTATATGTGAACCGTAGATCTAGCAAGAGCCGAATGTCTTCTCCTCGCACAGTTAACGGCATAGAGTAAATAGATACCGAGTAGACTGTGCCCGGAAAAGTGTACAATGTGCATTTAAATGCTTTCAGTCGGGCGATTGAAATGGATTAATTGAATCGCAAAAAACGTACGAAATGCAAGCGATAGTTCATTCCTACTAGTTACAATCAACGAATAGCTGGCTATTTTGTGTATTTTCGTAGTGAAATTCGTGATAGAGACATCCGAACGTGACGTCGGTCTGTGATAGGTAGCGCAATTAACCAGTTCGTCTAATCTTATATATGTATTAAGAAATACTGAAATTAGGTCAGTCCAAATTTAAGGTTAACCCATTTCTGCTATTGCATCAAGGCAAAGAAAATCGTAGTTTCTTTTTTGACCCAGCGCAGTAGGGCTAACTGAGTTGTGTGACACTGTTCAACAACAGCTGTAAATGTTTACTATATTCAAAACGACAACTACTTCGGTCGGTACAGATTCTGTTCGGTGTAAGCTTGAGCGCTCTGGAGCAATCGGCAATACTCTTACCACTTCGCCTGTATCAGCGGTTGAGAATTACTGTTGTTTACTCTTGTTTAGACGTTTTTCTTATCCTCTAAGTTTGTGACGTGGGAAATCGTTAATGCAAAGGTCAGGTATGATTTGGCTAGGTGGCAGCTGTCGAACCTCTTCGTTGTTTATTGAGGCTTTCTGTTCGAAATTTGAAAAACTATAAGCACTAATTTTCTGAAAAAGAAAGTGCTCCTGTACTAATAGGTGCAATACACTGAGCCAAAATACTATGCTATATTTGAGCAGATCTTACTCTCCGAGCTTACTTTGTAAATTGAGGGTAATCAGCAATTTACTTAAGCGAGTATTCTTACGTCTTTGTTAATGCTTTAACCAGTACTCTATGTTGAAGGATAAAAAAGAGCTTTTTTGTAGTATGATTAAAGTTTTTTTTTTTTTTTTCTGTTAGCAGCTGTACATTAACGTCTTGCGTACATCCTTTGTTCTTTGTATTCTTGGTTTATGTTTTCCCCTTTCAGGTTTCTTGTATTCGTACGTTGAGACCATGAGCGGGCGGGCTTCCATCAAGAATACAAGCGCCCCTGCTACTATTCAAAGATCTGACAATAGGCTACCCAGTAGACTATCTTTATTCTTGGACAACAGAAACATTGTTTCGATTCCGCGCAAGCCCTTAAGTACACATTCTATGGTGAGCTGAGCAATTTTCGAAGCCCATCTCGTTGAGAGGGGCATATTGGAAAGACGGTGTGAGCTCAAACAAACGCACTCAAAAGCTAAAAGCCAGTAGCTGTTGAAAAATAAACGAAAAAGATGTCTTCGCACCCACCGGGTCTGCCTGGATTACCCATGATCCCAGGACTGCCAGGTCCCTCGGGCGTTTTTGGGCACGCCCTGACACAGGCGGATCGGCGCCGTCCAGAAGCTGAGCACAAACCTCTATCACTCAACATACCGGGTATGGTGCGAATTGCTATCTTAAATTTCTCTCCATTTTTAGACATGTCCAGCTACTTGAAAGTAAGAACTTTTTCAATATTAGGAAGCCATAAACTGAAGTGGGGTTTGATCACTGTGATTGGTATTTTTGTCGTGCGGGTAATCTCGTAGATGCAAATGCCATTCGTCATGAAAAATTTGATGGTACGAGGCATAGTACATCTGGTTGTGATTATCCAATGTATATACGCGGGGCCAATCCAATTCTATGAAAATTGCGAAAATAATTTCATTTGTTTACTTGAAACTATTTTTATTTATTAAATAAGGTGACAATTTATCTGTTGAAACAAGTGCGAGAAAAATATGCATATTATGTGTTAGTGGTCCGATGTCAATCGTATGGAACACATTAGCATGGTTAGAAAACATGTTTTTGTGAAAGCTATAACTTGAGTCAATGCTGGTATATAAAACTAAAGGCGGTAATCTTTTTTGACATTAACCGCATAATTTTAAAGCATAAATAGATTATTGAGTGGGGTGTAATTTGGTATGCGGTTTAGATAACGTGGTAGTATGGTAGTTAATCTACATTTAGTCGTAGCCAAAGACAGGAAAATTTATTCTTAAGTTTGGGTACAATAGAACGAAAGATTACGTTCACTTTGTCCGCAGTTTTGTTTCTAGTATTATTTTACATATGAAGTGAGTTTTCTTATGGGCTAATGCATTATTCGGGTTCAATATACCAGCTTCTTTACTAAGCAGCAAACTTAATTTCATTTGTCGTGAACTGCATTTGTTTAATGAAGAACTGAAGAGCTGTGAACTCCATATGTAGATCGTTATAAAAGAAATTAATAAATGTAACAATAACATACGATATAAGCCTGTTCCGGTATTAGACTATCCGTAACATGCCTGTGATACGTATTGGCCCTTTCCTTAGGATTTTTGCACCCATCTGCGGGTGCTGCTCATCTTGCGCTGCCACCGCCGATGCTGACGCAGTCGAACCTGCCACCCCACAGTCTATCGCCGGGAGTTAGTGGAGCAAACAGCATTACGACGAACACGACGACGACGTTACCTAGCGGCAGTGGCGGCGCTGGAATTAGTAACAATAACAACAACGCCACGACAGACAATAGCAACAACGGTAGTGCTGGCGTCCTCGACTTGCACCACCGTGCGATTGCTGCTGCGGGTGTCACAGGTGTCGCCAATGCACATAATCCTGGTGGTACTGGAACATCCGCAGGTGCCGTTGTAACTGCTGTTACCGCCGCGGCCGCGACCGGAAGCGGAGGGGCAGCTGCAACTGGAGGAGCGGGCGTAGGTGAGATTCGCGTTGATGCCAGCCGTTGTCCTGTCTGCTTTCGACATTTCGACGACCGATGGAAATTGGAACGGCATGCGAGGGTGCACACTGGGGAACGACCGTTTGCGTGTAGTAGGTGCACGAAGACGTTTACAAGAAAGGAGCATCTGACAAGGCACGAGCTGTCGCACGACGGTGAGAAACCCTTCTCGTGCAGTGTTTGTGGCAAGGCCTTCTCAAGGAAGGACCACGTCGACAGACACTACAAGACACACATGACCCGATGATCATCCACCAAGCATAGAAGAGCGAAGGTCAACTACGCTACAGATTTGTCCAAGAGAGTCGCAGACAGACAAAAAAAAAACGGACAGAAAAAGCTCAGTGGTAATAGAGACAATGCAAGAGGATTCGCTTGTGTTAAACATGAGAACGAGTTCTGCATGGTGCTGCTTCAGGCACCATCGCGGAGTGTCGTCTGCGACAACGACTGGATACCAATGATATCTACAGATAGACTCCAGGTCTCAAGATTACCCTCTGACAGTTAGTCATGCCGTCGCGAATGTTCTATACGAGTCCCACTCTTTCTACTTCCCGGGGGGGAATTCTAATATCTGAATATCTTGAGAAAACAGTGTTATTTACTTAGAATGCACTATAAGCTTTTTATAGCTTTTCACCTCTATGGCAAAATTTTGTACGGATGTTCCGGTCCACATGCTGCTACAAAAACTGCGTCGGCTTCTATCTCAAAGTAAACCGGCTTTGTATGAGGAAACATGTAGAACAATGCTCACGAATGTACTAACTTCTAGCTCATTGGGACCACGAGCCAGAAAGTGTGACCAAACAGACACGCATACACACACAAATACTACCACATTCGCAATCGTATGCTCGAAGTCAAAGTATATTAAAAATCAGATGCTTAGTCCCTTCAGAATTAAACCCGTTTACTTCAGTCGTGTTTACTACAGTGAACTAGGTTCTACACCTGAGTAATGGATTGTGATAAGGCAAGCCTTGTCCCGTGTATCGGCTGATTCAAAGAGCATCATGATTTGTTGGAATATCGCGAGCTCTGGTATTCTGTCGTCCTAAACACAGTTTGAGCAACATTGGCTAGCGGCACACATATTCGAAGTCATTTCAGTCGGCCTAATGTCCTTTCGCTGTTGTGTTGCTGCAGGAGGAATTCGTAATGCTCCTCCAGCAGGCGGAAGTACTGCAGGTACGCAAGCCGCTGTGAACGCCCTAGTCCTCTATCGGGGCGTCGAGGGTGGTCAAGGCAATACGGTGGCAGTACGTGGTGATGGTTACCGTTGTCCAGTCTGTTTCCGACATTTCGGCGATCGCTGGAAACTGGAGCGGCACGCAAGGGTTCATACCGGGGAACGGCCGTTTTCGTGCGGAAGGTGCGGAAATTCATTTCGGAGGAAGGAACATCTCGTCAGACACGAACGGTCCCACGATGGTGAGAAGCAACTCTTGTCCAGTGTGTGCAGACAAGCGTTTATTAAGATGATCTACTTCTCGCAACACTATCATGGCTGCCTGGCCAGTTTCAAAAGCAGTTGCATTAAATCTACTTCGCTTAGCTCTTCGGGTGGGAATGTCGTTTACAAACGAATGCCTTAACGTTTCTCTCGCTCTAAGGACTCATGATTTCTCCCGAATCTCCATGATGTTTTGGTCAGTCCCTTTCACACAGCCGCATTATGGTTTATAATATTCATAGTAAGGGCATGTTCAGTTGCAAAGTTTAGGTGCCTGGCTCCTGTTACCAGTTATATTTTTCACTTAATAACTGACCACGTTGTGATAAAAAAGCATTTTTAACCAGGAAGATATTTAGAATTACGGCATGTTGCACCGAACTGTACCCGACTGTTAGTAGGTCGATATGTACTTGTGCCGTTAAGTTTTAAGAAAGCGTCGGGCGCAAAAGTTCTTTGCAGTCCAGTAAGACAGTATTCTACAACGGCTCTTTTTAATTCCACAAAGCCCGCTGGGACATAACTGCCGATTTTTTTAGGTTGCTGAATGTTATTCTAATTCGAAGTATATGTGGAATTATTCTGACCAGAGAGTCTTTCTGGCTGTTAATTCGCTTGATTTCGATGTTAAACGATCAAAATATGATTTGCAGTGCCACTGGGTGGTCTAGAGCATACAGGTAAAACGGCTTATTATACGGGAAAATTATAATCAATTCTGTATTCACGATAATGTGCTATGTTAAGTAATGACGCTCAACTACAAATAGGGAATGATCTACTAGACAGCGTATCAGATCTGATTCTACTTAAATGGCAGCCGCTATACAAATGCTTTGCTGGGAACATATTCTAGCAGGAGCGAATGCATTCGAGTTTGACTCTATATTGAAATGTCCCTTTCCAGTGAGAATACAAACGAAAAATGTTGAGTATACCTTTTGCGTTACAAATTGCGACCTCATATAACCTTCTCAGTGGAATCTTCGTAAAATTACTTGTAAAACTGGTTACGCAATGAGCATTGAAGGCCCACTTTGTTATTTGATTTCCTATTTCGATGAGTTGTCTTTGCAGGCCATACGTAACGTGGTAAGGCTTGAGCATCAATCTCATTCAGCATCTCTGAATCTTTTAGCCGGAAAGTTATCAGTCTAGGCGACCACGACGACATGTCCGTTCCAGTACAACATTTGTTAAAAGCAAAGTTAAACGATATCAATAGTGGCACACGACCAGTCACGGGCAGCTTTTTATAATTAGCGACCTTGTCCGCTTTGTTCAATACAGCAATATATCTATAGGCCATAAAAAGTATTGGAACACACAATCTAGGTAGAAAGTTACGTTGGGCTCTAGCTTTAAGTAAAGTATGCACCAGAGACGCAATGAGTCACTTGTCCGTATGGACACTGTGTCTAAATGGAGTTGGCGCACCAACGAGCTGTTCCCATAAGACGCGGGTGAGCGACTTGGGGAAGCATTTTTCTGGCTTGTAAGAATCGTCTTCTCCAATGGCCTCGTTTTTCACGGGGTACACGGATTTTTTGTGGATTTTCGAGCTCTACTGTGTCGTTTCTGATCAGGTTTGAGAAACATTGGCAAGTGCTGTATATATTTCAAATAATCGTCAGTTGCCCTAATGTTGCCCCTTTCAATGTTGTGTTGCTGCTGCAGGAGGTCCTCCGAATACTCCTCCTACAGGCGGTAGTACTGCAGGTACCCAAGCCGCTGTTAATGCCTTAGTCCTGTACCGTGGAGCCGAGGGCGGTGAAGGGAGCAATGCCCCTGTCGCAGTACGCGGTGACGGTTGCCGTTGTCCAGTCTGCTTCCGACATTTCGGAGATCGTTGGAAGCTCGAGCGACACGCCAGGGTTCATACCGGGGAGCGGCCGTTTTCTTGCGGAAGGTGCGGGAATTCATTTCGGAGGAAGGAACATCTCGTCAGACACGAACGGTCCCACGACGGTGAGAAGCTCTTCTCGTGCAGTGTGTGTGGAAAAGCGTTTGTTAGAAAAGACTATGTCTCTAGACATAATAAGAAAGCGCACCGCTGGCTAAGTTATGCGAGTTTCTGATAAATCGGCGCCCTTAGCTGCTCTCGCTGATTGGGTCGGAGCTAGTTTTATCATAACTGACTAATATTTTGCTCCTAGCCCTTCTGTATGAACATTAGAATACCGATATTTCTTCGTCGTTCAGAAGCGACAAGGGGACATTGGTTGGAAGCCAAATCTCGATTGATAGTGTCAGCTTTGCACAGATACTTATTTAAAGAAGATAAGTACAGACATTTGCCTAGAAAAAGCGAAACAAAAGTTTTTCAGTACCACTTACTCTAGCATAGATAAAATGGCTCTACGTAAATTTCAGCGGCAAAAAAATTATAATGGTTAAATTCACGATTCACGGTTTTTTACACTCCCCATCGTAATATCACTGATGGTGACACACAACGTATTCTATGTGGGGGAACGACAGTAGATCCCTTTTATTTCTTTAAATAAAATCGGAAAGTAGCATACGCTATAGACTGACATATGGGTTGACACTGGTTCTTGTTATGGTACAGACAAGCTCTGTGTACACTAAAAGTCTTTAACAGCATGCTATATTGATGATTAGCATTTTACACGTATAACCTCTGTGGAAAGCATCAGCCAACGTTACCATTTGGCGAGCATACTTAATACAGCCCAGTTTTAGATAATTCAGATGTTGCAATCTAATTTTAAACAGAGCGTGTCTAGTAGCGTTAATCAACGATCTTATTGAAAAACGTAATCAAAATCACCAGTAGGGTGACCATTGAAATGCAGAAATCGTAAATAAACACATAGTTTCATATCGTAGCGGCTCATTCACCTCCTAGAGATTCGTTTTTAAAAGAACATAAAGTATAGAATAGAGAACGTCACTCTGATGGGTAATTCTGTGTCTGTCTGTGTATTCTTGTTAAGATAGAACATTTCAGTCAGTTGTCATTTTTGAGATATGTTGACAAAGCTTAATGTCTACTTTTTTGAGAAGTGTTGTCACTGAAGTTATTTTCCGATAAATAGTACATGGTATTTCGAAGTATATATTTATACATGTCAATTTTATGCGGTACGTAGTAAGCAACGCTACAATATATAAAAAAAAGACATAGAATGAGAGAGTGTAATGTGCTAATATGCGGATAAGTGTAAGACATTGGCAGCAAATGCCGCGCGATAAGTCACTATCAGAGGACTATCATTAGAATGAAAGTTGGCAACGATTTCACTTAACAATAATAACAATAAACGGGCAAAAATGTAGCTCAGTGTCGTTATTGTTTAGACAATGAAAGCAGATTATCAGCGATGTGCGAACTACAATGTGTATTTGATCGCACAAGTCTAAAGTACTTCCTATGGACTATGTGCCAGAACCATGTATGAGTGTGCTTGCTGAATTCCACTCCATCTCGGTGTATTTCAGTTTTAATACTTAGAAGTTGCTCAACCACAGATATACTCAAGAATAGTTGCAACCCAAAGAGTTTTCCCCGGTCACTGAAAGCATTATCAAGTTGCTACTGAAATGAATCGCTAAGATGTGAAAAAATTAGTTATGGTGAAAACCTTCTAATTTTACTCGTACCGTTACTTATAACCTTTTTTTAGAGGTATCATATGTATAATCTATGTAATATACATGAGAGTTATCGCACATAATACGGGTAAATATGCAAGCTTCAAAAGGTGTTATCTTTCAAAAGATCTTAGAAAATACTGTTCTCAGTTTGGACTCATAAACGAATCAGGTTTGCCACAAGGATATTACACAGCGCTAGAAATGTATGATATCCATGGATTGATAAGTATGTATACGAGTGTGGCGGTCTTACCAAAACGTATCAGATTTTAATTATCATTTGAAGACATTAGAGAGTAACCATCAAAGCGACTCTGATTCGCCCTGTTGATTCTGTACACTCACAAATAAAAATACGATGCAGTACGATGGTTGAAAAAGCCTTCATTGAAAAAATCTCTAACCGTTACTTGTGTTTATCTTTACGAAAAATATAGCTTTGACGGAAGAAAACTCGAATACGAACGAGCACGCATTTCTTCGTACCGCGAAAATTTCGATAATAAATAGTAAAATATTGAGAAACAACGTGGTTATGGAACCGTATGTCGTAATCAAATTTAACGAACAATCTTCACTATTTTAATGTTACCAAGTATTTGCGTATTCGATACGTGCTACAACGTAAATATGGCCGCTAATTGGTGCTTTAAGCTTCACTTGCTGCAAACGCCCATACCAATTAGTACAAGTGCAATTAACCAGCTATTCGTTCTACTGTGACTGCTATTCAGATATACAGTTTTTTTGAAAAAAAAAATTTTTTAAATAGTCACTTGATTATTACATGTTGTAAACATAGATACTATTTAGAATTTATTGTTGCTGTAAAGCATAGTAAAGTTCTAAATAATAATAATATGTCGTAGCGTCTTTTCGAAAGAGTGATCGAAATATTACACATAAGCAATTGGTAATGTTTGGTGAATGGAAACAACATCGTTATATTAAATTGAAAAGAAAACGTGTTATTAATAAATGTGTGTCGTTTATTTTTTGCCACAGCTCCCTTGAATGCTCTACTCCCTCCTGGGGGCAGCAGTTCTGGGGCAAATTCAAGTGCCGTTGACGTTTACCGAAGTGGAGCGGCCGGAGCTGCTGGAACCGGAACAGTTCCGTTACGTGTAGATGCTTGCCGATGTCCCGTTTGCTTTCGCCATTTCGGAGATCGCTGGAAGCTGGAACGACACGCGAGAGTGCACACCGGAGAGCGGCCTTTTTCCTGCACGAGGTGTGGAAAAGCGTTCACAACGAAAGAGCATCTGGTTAGACATGAAATGTCCCACTCTGGTGAGAAGCCCTACTCCTGCAGCGTGTGCGGCAAAGCTTTTACGAGAAAGGACCACGTTGATAGGCATTTTAAGAAGACACACTGCCGCCCTAAGTACACTGATCTTTGATCGTTCGATCGCATATGCACACTAAAAAAAAAGACCAATTTTATCATTATGTAAGCAGGTCAAAAGTAAGGTCGTTATAGCATTTTTGCCTTGCAATTATCTCGTTTTGTTCTATGCTCATAACATACGTCTGTCGCAAGTCGTTCGGGGCAGGGTGCTGTCCGGCAGCGGACCAGCCTTGCTAACGAGTCAATCATGAATAAACACACGTATATAGGTTTACGATAATAATAATCGATTTATCCATGGAACAGCAATCACAGTCAGCGCAATATCGAATCGCCATTATATTCCATTATTTCCGCTAATAACGTGGAGGTTTGTTTAGCTAGTAACATGTAATCGGTGACGGGGCGTCGTGTAGGGAGTAAACGTTATAACACTTTGTGTACAATGTCAACTATATCATACTACCGAAATCTATGGTGAACTAGTCGTTGCAAAATAATCAAGCTGGCACTAAGTCACTATTTGTACTGATTAGTTCGGTTTATCTTCTTCAGTCTGAGAAAGTGTAGAATACTCGAATTCCTATTCCTGATACTATGTAGAGATTATTTAATAAGGCAAGTGTTACCTGGAATTAGTATATGCATATAGAAGTGTAATCAGGGTGACATTTATATAACGATGATGCACACCTTGCTTGGTCTGAAAAAGAGACAGGAAATTATTCTGACACATCATTCTGTTTTATGCGCTCGTTTTATACGTTGAAACCATAATACTTAACCAAGTTCGGAATAGCAAAAATATTCTTTATCTGAACAATTACTTTTCACAAAAAATAAGTATTTTTGCTAAGTGGCGTTGCATTTTTGTGGCAGGTGTAAATAATACTTTGTACTGGCAGCAGATGATGATATATATAGGTGCCTTTTTACTATATTTATAGAATGGATTTATATAGATACACAAACTTGGATTTGATTGATTATTGAAATATGAAATACTTTACTATTATAAATAAAAAACCGGCGTTCCAGGAAGGAAGTGTTGTTAACCTTGGGCGTTTTAAAGGCGAGGCCTAGCAGAAGAAACGTATCAACTTATGGACGCCGTATTTAAGAGGGCCTGATAATGACGTCTACAAATACATAGACAAGTGGCATGCCTACGAGAAGAAGCACCGAATGAAATGATTACAAAGAGAACCCCCAGCTCTCTGAGTTCTTGCCAAGCAATTAACTAGCTGCTCTGAAACTAGTAATATATATTTCATTATAAACTTGATGTTTCGAGACATATAATAATGATGATGAAATAAATAAGTTTTACTGCGGTTGAAATACTATAACGTCAGGTCTGTCTGAAATTAGCCTTAGAATATTTTTTTTTATTTAGTTGGATTCTATATATATATATATATATATATATATATATATATATATATATATATATAAGCGCTGTTCACGTATAACGGAATTGTAACTATGTACGTACAACAGTCCTACACGGTTGCGGTGTCTCTCAAATGCAATTTTAGGTCGTCAGAATGTATCATACGGAGTTAGCCATCTCTGAGTGAACTAATTAACAATAAAAAGAACCTCTATTTTATTTAAAACAACACTGCACATGTTTACTCAAGGTTGATGAATTTATTATGTTCGAACTATTTCGTCTTCAAAGTTTTCAATTCTGAATGAGACAAGTTTCTTTAGCACGTATTCGTTTCGACTTTTGCATACGTCTTCATGAACTTTTTTGAGTTTTTAACAATAATACAGTAACTACTGTTACATGCTGCTTATTTTATCATCTAATAGTAATCTGCCTATACCATAGGCTGTTCTAGTCGAACTTCAGGCACTACAAAGTATCAGATCTCTGAAAATAAACTAGCACACTGAATTTGGAAACCACAGAACAGAAACATTTGGCACCGCAGTATCTGTATTACCAAGCTGCCTATTGTTACTACCGAGTTGCGTCAACTTTATTATTACTTTTATTATTTACTTTTATTATTCACGGCGTGTACCGAATTAATTGATAATTGATTGACAACAAAGTAGTGGAGCTAATAAACCAATTTGTCAGTAACATTTAAATGCTAAAGATTTAAGGAGATAAAAATCCCTATGAAAACACCGCGAAAGAAGTCCTTCATTACGTCGAACGGCCGAGGAATGAACCTGACAGTTTGAGGAAACTTTGCAAAAATGAAGGTTGGGCCCAAAGGTATATGTGGCAAAGATTGGTGTTTCTTAGATTGCGGGTTATGTGATTATTACTATTATAATATGAATGTTATGAAAAACTGTGAAAGAGTAAATCCGACAGAAACAAGCATAATCATTTGCACGAATCTGCAAACTTTACGCCAACCACTCGCCTAACACGTTTCGTTACGAATGAATGACACAAGGATTGGTCTGTGTGGACCCCTAACGAAGAACTTCTTAATCCAACTGTAATCTATGCAATGTGCAGTTCAATAGTATCATCAGACTGGTGATTATTCCCACAGATTTTATTTCAAAATATCAGTTAATAATAAAATTATTGATTTATTTACCTTCTCATTTATTGAAAAAACCCATGGACAGTATTATTATCTGATAACAATACAGGAATGGGCATTTACAGTTATCGCAGATATCGCATATATTATTATTACAATTACCGTAAGAGTCCGGAGTGCCAAACTTAAGTGATCATTTCAGTCTCTACATTTCACTGATATAAGTTCATATAATTTTAGTTACTTCTGTGCATATACCGGTTGCTGGCCTGCATTGCACCAACGCTGACTTACTCAAAAAAGTATATATATATAATTCATAATGCTGGATAGGGTAGGACTTGGGTTAGGCTAGGACTTACAGATTTATACGTCCGTGGCAAAGTTCTTGAACCGCTGAGGTGCATTTATTCTTCTTAATGGCAGTATGGTTTTTCAACCAATATGCGAGCGGTGATCATGTGTAGGCATCATAATGCATCATCGGTTATATATAAACTAGGGAAAAAATTGATTTTATGAAAAAAAAATGGCCTAAATGTCGGCTCCAATGCAAATTAAGCGCATAACTAACTAACTAACTGTGGCAATGCCTACCGCGTCATCTGCGCTATTATTTATGTAATTGCTCAGTGTGTCCAATTATACATTATTTCTGAACATGCTTCTTAACAGTGACCAAAAATGCATTTAAATTAAATTTAACAAACATGCTGGAGGCCTATTTCCGGACGTAGGAGTTACTAGCTTCACAACGCGATGATTTACCGCTTTAAGTTTAAGATCATAGCGTTCTGCAGGTCATCTATGATTTATCTACTTTAATATTTATCTAATGATTTATCTACTTTAATACGCAGAGTAGTTACTCTACTTTTTTTGCCTGGATGGGTCCAAGGATCTCGGTATATAAAACTGTATTTTAGGGATCTGAGTTTTCTAACACCTTGTGTTAAAAAGCTCGTGTAACTATAAGAGACAAATTTGCCGAATTAATAGCTTTTTTTAGCTTAGTTATCCAGTGCTAGCGGACGACGCTGCGATACTATGGAAAAGTAATTTCGTCAAAACAATAGAAAAAGACATGTTGGTGCACAATTAAAAAGTTCCATAACCTCGATTTTATGATACAATTCTAGTTGAAGACTAAATCGCATTTATGTATTAAAAATGCATTTGTTAGTCAATCCTTGAAAACGTCAAACTCACGTGAAAAAAGATTAACTTTTAAAATTACATATATATATATATATATTGAAACAGAGAGAGAGAACTACGGGCAAACATCTTTATATAAGCGTATGTTGTCGAGTAGGTAGCCGGATAGTTTGAAGATTTTTGTGACAACATGGAATAAGATCGAATTGTCTGCCTTCTGTATCTCACTCTACTGACAGGTAGGTCGCTACAGAAATTCATGTCGCAGCATGAATGCACTTGTACTGTATTCAACATACAGGTTCATTCATAAAAAGGAAGTACCAATAGAATCCTCACTGCTAGGACTATGCTTGTTTTACGCTCGATTCCTGCCAGTTTGGATGCATGTATAACGAATCATGCATTGTTTCATATGAGTAGCGTTTTTCCCTTCCAGACATATTTTTTGCCATAGTTTTGCTCTTCTTTTGGTACCAGCAGACATAAAGGCTATCTAAAATACCTAAAACTAATTACACTTTTTCTCATATATGTATATTTATGATGCTTTTGCGAGACAGATTCTACAAGTACAGCGCTGTTAATAGTGGAGACGACATCTATCTTATATTTCGATTAGGAAAGGATCCACGTTTTGCAGAAGCTTTCATTTTCCCTTGACGCCATTCTCATCTACGGTGATTTGGAATTCAGCAACAGCCAGGGTCGGTTATAGCAAAAGTGAACGAAACATCACAGAAGCGGGCTCTACAGCATTTTGATTGATCGGGACCCTTTTTTCCAATGAAACAAAGCATTTCTGTTACTGGCGTTCCTGTTGTCGGCAACACCTTGGGCAACGCAGGCAGAGGAGAACTGCATTCTATGGCTGCGGCTATGCCTGTTGTTACTTTTGCTACTACTACTGCTGCTGTTAGGAGCACTTCGTGCGATGTACACCGGTGCCATTACGCTCACGCTCACCCGAACTGACTGACAACATGCATCTACCTACCTTACCTGTAGAGATTGGGAGATAAGAAATAAGGAAAAGGGGAAACGAGAAAGTACATACAGAGTCCACTAGCTTTTGCCCCCCCCCCCCCTCGCTTCCCTTGATTCCTTCTATGCATATCCGATAGTGTTGTCGCCAGTTTCTCCTGTTCGAGTCGTAACCGCAATAACAACCCGAAATACAGCAGCGGCAGTAGCGCTTTAGGGTAATAACAGTTGTCAGTTACTAGCTGCTGTGCCGGCGGTGCGAAATGGTGTACATGTAGCGACAGGTGGTGCCGAGTACTGTGGAGTTTGCTCTAATGACGAGGTCACCATTTTGGCAGAGATGTTGGTTGATACAACGTGCCTGGTGTATGCCTTTATCATTGCACGTAAGCCCGCTTGTGAGGGTGCTAAGTTGTTTGGTGAGTAGCTACGAGCAGCAAAAGCGGAGGGGAAATTCGGGGGGTAACCTCTGCTGATTTTGGTGATGCTTGCGTTGCTTCGTTAGCTGGCACCCATCCATTACCTCGGCTTTGTTCCCGTCTAATAATTATAGAACTTTTGCGCGTCAACCATTGCGTTAGATGAATTTACGAAGTATTTTTCAACGCAACTAGGAAAGAGGTTAAATACGGAATGAAGAAGCCCACAGAGTTGGAAGACGACTGCAAAGAAGGAAGAAAGGCATGGAAGGAAAGTCCAGAGATCGAAGTCAAGCAGGCACTAACCCAGAACTAGTCGGCGATTATGTGACCAATTACCACGATAACCATATTATTACTCTCTCGGCAGACATTCATATATTTTATCAATCATAGGAGATCTCAAGAACATGAATTGCAAACGAGTGTTTTTCGCATATTTTATTAACACAAAATAACATGAGAGTTGTGTCGTAGAATTGAACGACACCAGCAATTGTTTTTCTGTTAGGGTTTTAAGAGGTTAACTTCGTCTGTCTTGTTCTTAAAAATAACTACCTATAACGTTTTCCATCTATTATCAATACTTTAAACAACTCGAACTTAAATTTTCAAGTTCAGTCGTTCGAACAAAACGCTAGCACAGATTAGGAATGATACTAGAAATATTCAACGTGTTTCAGTGACAAGAAAAGCGACAGACGGCAGATCTCACTTTGCACAATGCAGAATGTGCTAATTATTTTCTTTTAGGCGGACAAAATGCGTACGGTGGTGTTGAAATTACATTTGAATCAAACTGATCTGAAGAAATAAAAAACGTAAATATGCGCTAACCGAATGGGTAGGAATAGCTGTTAGTAATTACGCGCACCTTTTTGTTATATGTTATTATATGGAAACCCGACAAACAGGCTGGCGGGGAGAAGCGTAACAGGTTTGCTTTACCACGGTTTATTCTTTAATGTGTAATACTTGCAGTTGACTTCTACAGTATGTGACAGCAGATATGGTTAATTTAACAATTCTGCTTCTGCGTGCATATCATGTGTGTGACACCTATGATTTTCCCAATCCAATACCGTCGTGCAAGAGACAACAGATCTCACTTACATCAAACACAAGCTTAAATAAAGAAGCTTCATCGCGTCAAGCCGGCTTATCTTGAGTGCGTGCTGGGATTACTTATGAGCTCGCTTAGCAGATTCCTGTGTCTAATTGCGGGCACGGCGATGTTTGTGTAGTACTTATGTTCGACCTTTCAGACACCCAGATACATATGTAATTCATCGTACCTTCAAAGTACACATATTTCTTCCCGACGAGTGCCGGGAGCAGTGAGAAGTGAAGCAACTTCACTGCACCAACTGCAAGGCGGCTATATGAGTTTTTACATTTGTTACATGAGAAGAAGCGTAACGTATGACATTCATGGGCAGAAATTAGTCCACTACAATAATGGTGTAACAGGTGTGCCAGTCATGTATCAGTGTTATTATACACGTTGTGTTGTGCACGTTCTCAACTTACGCAGCTTGGCCGCAGCGTTTCGGCATTGAAGCTGATAAGCGAATATGGCGTATTTACTTTTATGTGTCAGAATATGTAGCTAGTTATGATAGCAGATGAGTGGTAATACAAGGAGCTTGGCACTGTTTACAAATTGCTTTTGGTCACTTGTGGCACTGCGAACTGATTAGCCTTGCAGAGAAGTATACACACTATATTAATTATAATTTGACTATATTAGTTATTTTTAGGTTTCAGTAACCTGCTCCTCTACTTTAACTGTGACCGTACCCTTCTCGAACTCTTAAGCCTACTGTCGCCCCCCGGTATTAGCTTTACTGCATTATTAAAGATGATATTGTTACCTGAGAGAAGTTTAAAAATCGCAGATGGCCGTCCGTTGAAGTGGACGAGAAGGTATTCGATCGATGTAATGGACTGCTTCTATCTATTACAGTAAGTGCATGGTAATAGAAACTGTTCATTGCCGCTCACAGAAGGCTGTTGTCTGTTCAAGCACAGTGTCAAATGTCTATTATCCGTATTTGTCGGAAGATATCCAATTGAAAATGCATTTCGTGACCGTGTATTGAGATACTCTAAGTCATTTCATACTCCTCTATACGCTATCTCCCACGAGTTTCATAACTTGCGCGCTCAGCGCGTAAGATTCTCCTGCAAATTTTCGTCTGCTATACACTCTGGTTAAATGGAATAGCTTTTCGCGACAGAAAAATCAACGAGAATATTTAAAGAGCCTCTAAAACCTTTTTGCAAACCAAAACAACGCCTAGTACATACGCTTTTTTTTTTGGAATTTTGAGACACCTTTTTATATTAGTGTTGTGTCACTTGGTAGACACCATTATCTGCTGTCTGTTGCGCCCCCAACCAGCAAAGTTTCAACTTATACCCAAAAAAGTGTCATTATATGCGAGTGGTTAATAAGTTGCTATATGAATTTT